GTGCCCCTCCATTGCCCCCTGCTGGAGGGACAGTACTCTGCTGGCTCCCTGCAGGTGCCCCTCCATTGCCCCCTGCTGGAGGGACAGTGCTCTGCTGGCTCTCTGCAGGTGCCCCTCCATTGCCCCCTGCTGGAGGGACAGTGCTCTACTGGCTCTGTCCTCTCTGCAGGGATTCATTGTGTTGAAGGGGTGGGAGAGGCGTTTGGGACAAAGGACAGGGCCCAGGCCCTGCCTTCACTCTCCACATCCCTGCAGCTCAGGCAGAATTACCAAAGCTTTGCTCTGATTTTTGAGGGGGGAAGAGCAGTAGAGAATTAGGGACAAGGACTAGAACGCAGGCACCCTGATTCCATTTATTACTTTTTGCGGGGGGAGGGGAGTATGGCACAACAATTCTAGACCAACCTCCCCTCTGAGGGGGGAGAAGCCAGGAGTCCTTCCTACCCAGCCCAGGTGTTCAACACCCCTCCCCTCAGTTCAGCAGAGTCCTCTCAGTATTTAGGCACCCAGACCACAATCCCAAGCAGTCTGGTGTGTGACCAGCTCAGCACGGCACTTGCAAGCCTGATGCCAGCTGCCCAGGAGCCATTTTACCCCTGTGGGGACGCTCCCCTTGTCCCAGCCTGCACTTGCTGTCAATCCTGCAGCACAGTGCGCTGGTGCAGTCCACGGGGGGGGAGGGGGGGGAAGAACCCCTCCCGGTTTAACTCCTTGAGAGACAGAGGGTCAGTTCCTGGAAGGCTCAGTCGAAATCAGCACAGGGCCCAGGGCTGGAGAACTTGGGGTAATGGAGGAGTTTGTCCCGGGGCGGAGGCCAGCTGGGGCCAAGTATGGTGTCTTGGTCGCAGGGGAACTCGTCCTCGCTTTTGAGCTGGAAGGAGGGGAAAAGGTCAGAACTGCCAGTACCCCACTCCCAAGTCATAGGCCCAGGTATCCTGCCCCCTCCCCATATCAGCCTCACGGGCCTGGAGAAGCTGCCACCCACCCGCATCAGCCCCATGGGCCTGGAGATCCTGTCCCCTACCCACTTCAGCCCCATAGGCCTGGAGATCCTGCCCCTCACCCGCATCACCCCATGGGGTCCATCTAGCTGCCTTCCCAGCAGCGAGGGGACTGTTCCGTACCTGTGAGGGGAAGTCATCCATGGAGAGGAGGGCAGGGGGTGGCCGCCTGCCCCGCGGCTCCTTGTCCTCCCGCCCATGCCGCCGCCGCTTCTTCCCG